CGTTTCCATCACGTGACAACCTTGAGAGAGATGTTCTTCTTAAAAATTATTATTTCGGGTATACGGACCGTCCCGATCCATTTTTGTATTTATAGGCGAGGGTATGTGGGTTAGTATGGGTGAGGGTGGTTAAGGGTCAATATGGATGGGTCAAGTGAGTCAATATGTGTGGATCAGGGTGGATTATGACCCCTTAACAAGGATTGATGATGGGTCATGGTGGATTGGTGGGTCAATATGGGTGGGTTGGTATTCAACCCTTATCCAACCCAATCCATCCATTTGCCACCCCTACTGCTTTTATACAACTAACCTTCAATTGAAGCAGATACCTACCTCTGTTATGAAGTAAAATCGTCTTCTTTGATTGTCTTCATTTAAAAGTAGTGAATGTAGGGATACAATGCATATGCTAATTGAGTTGATGCATACTACAATCTGAAGAATTATTATGACTATTTTGAAGCAGGCATTCAAGATAATTTTTTGAAACATTTTGAGATATAACCTGTGGGCCTTTTATCTAAAATCAACAATGTGGTAAAATAAAAACTGATTAATCTTCAAGAACTTAATTGTATGTTTGTTCAAGTGGTCAGTAAACTAGTGGGTAATATTAATTCTACACTAAATGGAGTAGTCTTTGTTAATTAAAAACAAATCATTCTGTTAAAAAGCTAGCAGCAGCAAGATACAAAATCAGCCAAACTAAACCACACCCAAATCACTAAAGAAAACTAACACATTTTCTCCGATTCATCATTACTTAGCGGTCTCCTACCTCAAATTTTTTTCAACCATATAATGATGCTAATTCTAAACCTTGTAATAAGGCCAATATACATAGCTCTGCTCTAGTTGAATAACCCACCTCAACAGGTTAAAAGAAACTGAGAAAATTCCCCCCATTTTTAGTTTTTTCTCAACTTATTGTTGACCTGGTCATAGTTATGGTTGGTCAACCTTTAATCCACCATACTACAAAAACTGATAAGTTGGCTAGTGATCCATGCCTACCTAAATGACTTTTAAATGACTTAGGAATCTTCAATTGGAAAATTAGATTGGAGCTCATAAGGAGTTTCCTTATTCCTCTTTTCACTTTCAAGGTATCAACTGGCTGGTTGGTAAAGTTTCTTGCTGGTTGTAACAGAGGCTTAGGATCAAATCCCACCTGCACTTGGGGGGATGGGCTACTCCCATTGTGTAGCCCCATGGAGCAAAAAATTAAAAAAAAAAAATCCTCTTTTAAGTTATTCTAAAGTAGTCAATGGGTCAAATCCGATTCGAGACAGAATGGACTAATCCCAAAACAATTATTAATTAATTCCATAAGATAGACAAAGAAATGAACCAAATATTAGTTAGGATAATCGGGTCTGACCTGATTAGACCTAATTATACTTTGATATCTATCATTATAACAACTTAGAACTTAATATTTTGATAACATAATCTTAATAAAAAATGATAGTTAAACAGTGAACTGTGTTTATATGTTGATAGCGCAAGTGCTTTTAACCAAAATTAGCTTTGTACTGTTTATGAAATTTTCCCTTTTAGACATAAAAATAACAAAAATTACAAGAAACCAGGAACCTCTATGTATTAACTATATAATTGGTTTGGGTTTTATTCGGTTTGGAACAACAAGAACCAGTCTCAATTCCCAATTATTAATAGGGAACACAAACCCCAAAAGCAGAACCAACATAATCGGTTCAGTCGGTTTAGTTCTCTTGGGCAGAGCCGATCCATTAACAGATTTTGGCACAAAAGACCTTGCCAACATGTGCAATATATATATGTCCTCCTTCATATGCAAGTTTTAACAAAAACTTTGAACAGCTAGCTAATATTAGTTGTAAAAACCACCATTACAAGGTAGAGTTAATGGCTATATAGAGTATATGGACTATGGGATTGGACACGTGGCTAATTCAGTGGGTCCCCGATCTGAGGCTTGGGTGGACAACATGATTGCTCTACTTGCCAGAAATAGGCATGTTTATGTAGGTATATAATCTCCCTACTTCAACTGAGTCAAGACTTAGATACACAAAACACATAGACAATAGTTCTGCTTTACTCCAAGAATCCATTATAATTCATGATTTTCATTTCTAGACAACAATGAAACAATCTCTAGCAAGGGAACAATGGGAAAACGAATTACATCATCGCCATAAGCTAAGTTCCAAACACATCAGAAATAGACTCACCCATATAAGGAAAGAAAAAAAGTAATTAATGAAAGAATAGGCCAGGTGATTTATTTATAACTCTGAATAAGTTGGTTCATGTGTTTTATTTACTGTTTTATTTTTGCACATTTATCTGACAAACAGAAGCACCAGTTGAAGCTCGACTGGTGCACTGTAAGATATCATTAAAATCAAGCTTACTTGAGCAATAAGAACATTCAACTGAACTGACCATAATTAAGCTTTCGGGTTCTACTAATTTAGAACAGAAAAGTTCATTCTTTATCACTCTTCAAGATTCCTTTTTATTTTAATACACAAAAAGCTGTCAATAAATAACTTCTGATTTTTTGCTACCCTCTTCGGTGCTTTGTTACATAAGAAGCATTGGAGCCTCGTTTCTGATTTGATTGGACGGTTGGGATTGTTGGGTGGGAGACTGGGAGTGGGGCCAGGCTCGAATGTGCTAATGGGTTTTTTTTGCTAGTCCTGATTTTGATCATCTGACACCATGAAATGACTAAAAGCCAACTGAAATTTGAAACCTAGATAAACCCTTGAGAAAGAAAAAAGCTCATAGAAAAGAACCCAGAAAGAGAAAATTAAAATAACTATGGAGCTTCTGTGTCAGTTCTACAGTTTCAATGTGACAGGTATGTGATGGAATGTAATATTAATATAATATTAGGTTTATAATCCAATGAAAAGACCCGCATTTCTCGTAACATATGTTACCTTAGCTTCTTCGAAAACTGATTGGTTGTCTCTGCCACGCTGGCACGAGATCCAACAATATGATTGGATGGAGGACCTAGCCACCCAGATCCGTGCCACGTATTAGGGCAGACAAATGCATCAAGTGTAACCCCATGAAACCACAGTGTATTACCCACCTTGATAAACCCAAAACATCCGGAAATCGCCATTGACTGAAGAACTTTTTAGGGTTTCCAAGCTATTGTTACAGTGGTTCTGTTGTCTCCCCATTTAAAAATACAAGTCTTTGGGTCTGTGTCTGTCCATCCGTATTTCTGTAAGACTGCATTGCTGCTGCATCGTAGTAGTAGTAGTCCGTATAGCAGCCAATGCATGAAAAAGCCGCAGGTACTATCCTCCCATTGGATCGTACCTTGGTCTTTCCCCATCCCTTCACTACCCTCTGTCAACCTCTCTCTCTCTCTCTCTCCTATCCTCTCTCTCTCTTCTGTTCTTTCAATGGATATCGCTCAAAACATATCTAATCCAAAATGGGTTCTTCCCCCAGTTACAAACTCTCTCTTGTCTAGCATGAGGTGACGGATTACGGACATGATGATTACCCATTTCATGCATGTTCATTTGCTTCCTCTCTCTCTCTCTCTCTCCATCTTCTCTCTCTGAGCTCTGAGATCTCTGTGTGTATCTGAGGTCTCTAAGCCGTCTTTGTTGAGCTTCAGCTGCAGCAGATGCTTTGTCAAGAAACAAGTGAGATGGGGTAAAAGGAGAAACCCGAGAAAGAAAGTTTCACAATGGAAGAGAAATTTTAGTTTCAGGGAAAAATGGGGAAGAAGCCAAGTATGGGAATCATGATGCCTCCCTGCTGTCAGACGTCAAGAACCGAAAAATCGTGTGTGACGTGACCAAAGATTTGTAACCAAGACAAATAGACATACAACCACGCCATACTCAAACCTAATCTGTGTCTTCAAACCTAACCAGAGATCCCATGATCTACACCTACAAGGGTAAAATGGTCTTTGAGAGAGACTGAAGGAAAAAATAAAAATAAAAAAAAAAACAAAAGAAGAGCCCCGTGAAGAGCTCACAATTATGAACCCTAATATGTGTTTTTGATTGGCCGGAGAAGACCGTTTAATGGATATTAAAAGAAACCCACTTGGGTTTTGAAACCCTATTGTGATTTTGATTTTTGAGAGATACCCACTTCTGGTGTAAGAAAGTTTCAAACTTTTTTTTATGTTGTGATTTGATTTTTTTTATTGAACTGGTTGACTGACGTGTTATCAAGGAAGAGTCAAGAGCTTGGAGAAAATGGGCTAATGGGAGTGTGACAGCTTTGATGCAGCAGGCTTTCCTTGAAGGGAGAGAGATGAGAGGAGATAGAGGATGATGAGAGAGAGAGAGAGAGAGAAAGAGAGAGAGAAGAAGAGGAATAAAGGAAAAAAAGAGAGGAAATAGCAAAGATTAAAAAAAGAAAAACAATGGAGGAGGTGGGAGGAGGCTGATTTCCCAGTTCTGCATACCTTCCAAACCCTATTTGCTGCTACTGCGGCTCCTATACCACTATATGTCCACAACACTTCTATTTCTATCTAATTAAAACGGATATATCCACCTATCCAAATAAGAACTAGAAAAAGAAGAATAAAAAGAAAAGCTAATACAGGAAAGAAACAAAAGAGAAGAAAAAATAAAATAAAATAAAGATAACTGAATCTTTGCTAGTGGGAACTAAGATCTCAACTGCAAAAAAAAGAAAGAAAAATGATTAAGCTCTTACAGTTAAGTTTCCTTAGAAAATGTCACACAGAAGCTCAATTTGCACAAAAAAAAAAGAAAAAATTATTAATACCGTCTAAATTGACCCTCTAACTTATATGGAAAAAAACCCAGAAAATATTAAAAAGAAAAAGCCTCAAGATTCATCACTGGAGCTAAGAAATAAAGATGATGAACAAAGAGAAAAAGGAGAGAGAAGATAAGAAAGAAGGATCTAGTAGTAGCCTTAGGTAACTTAATAGATATGTAGAGAGAGAGAGAGAGAGAGATGGGTGTAAGTAAGAAGGAAAAGAAAACCTGTGGTTAGCATATTCATAGAGACGGCCACGGCTGGAGAAGACGATAAGAGCAACCTCGGCGTCGCAGAGGACGGACAATTCGTAGGCCTTCTTGAGCAAACCGTTGCGACGCTTGCAGAAGGTGACCTGCCTGTTGGTGGTGTTCTCGATTCGCTTGATCTCTATCTTGCCCCTTCCCATTTTTCTTCGAGGAGAGTCCTCCGTTGCTTGATTTGGAAAATCCGTGGTGAAGCTGAAAGCAGCAAAACAGAAAGCAGAAAACAAGATAATGATGATTCTGTTAGAATAGGAGGATTCGTTTAGGCCTGAATTGAGATTGAAAGCTGAAAACTTTGATGGACCCAAAAGAGTCAACAGAATCCAGACATGTTTGCAGATAATGTTTCATATTTTTGCTTACTGACCCTGTAGAAGAAACGAAGGGGAGAGGACAACTAAGGACAGAAGCAAAGCTCTCTCTCTCTCTCTCGATTTCTCCTTCTTTTTCTTCACTAGTGACTACAGTTCTGCACAGGAGAGATGCAGAAAATGGAAGACAGTTGTTTTAGCAGGTGGGTATTTATAGGCTTAAAACCGACCCTCCTCCATTCATCATCAACAACACAACTACTTACCTTTCTCTCTTTCTCTCTCTCTCTCTCTCTCTCTCTAGTTTTTTAATGAAGAATGAGCATAAAGAAAGCTAAGTAGGAACTTGAGATTCACTCAACAGACTCCATAACCATCCGTTTTCGTGTGTGTGATGGAGGAGCTAATTTGGAGAGAGAAAGGAAAGGGACTTTTGGAAAGTGATTTATTAATCTGTTGAATAAGACGCCTGGGTTAAGTTGCACTCGACTTAATACCAACAGAGAAAACAAAAGATGGACGGATCTATCTCTCTCTCTCTCTCCTTTTCTTTTCCTTTTTTTTTTTATCTATTGGGGGTCTCTGTTAGCTTTTATTTAAGATTTCCTTCTTGATCTCCTCTCTCTCTCTCTCTCTCTCATACACATACACATACACAGAAACAAAGAGATATTATAAGTAAATTATTATTATTATTTGCATCTGCTAAGGTTATGTCACAGGTGAAGATGACTCCCATGTGACGCCTGAACTACCATTTCCTCATTCTATGGATTCATTTATGGTAACAATCGGAGGGGTGCTTGGATACCAAACTTGAATTTCGTTGCTCTCTTTTATTTCAACACCTCAGAAGGATCATAGCTTAGATCCTTCAAACACTAGCTTCCCAATAACATTTATTAGTTGTTGTACGCCTAAGCACCCCCTCCCCCTCCCCATGCCTTACTATAGCTCACTCTGTCCATTCCACATCTTCTCTACTTTGGTCCTTCAATGGGTTTTCACTCTCTACCCGACCCACCAACCCTTCTTGTTTTAGTTTGAGTTCTTGAATTCCTACCCCTTTTGATCTTTGTTCACAGATTCACCTGTTTTTGTTTGGCTTCATTGTTCCCTTATTTTTCTTTTATGTGGTACAGTTCTTCTTTCTCAACCCCATTAAGATCCATGCCATGTTTGACCCGACCCGGATAAGTGGCTCCCTTCTGTGTAATTACCCAAGCTAGGATCTAACAACCCTAACAAGGTATTCTGTGTGAATGTCTCAGCAATTATTGGGTAAGGGAATCTCCCACTTAGTTTGAATTGTGGAGAAGCAAATACCCAATAATTTTTAAACCCGCCAATAAGATACAAGTGAGAAAAAAACTAACCCTTTAACTGGGAGTTAATTAATTGATAGTTACTTCAATGGGTGACAGAAGGTCTTTCAAGAGAGCTGGACCACCAACCTAACAGAATATCAATGAATTAGTGCCATTTCTACCTTGTCGGTTTGATTAATCATCATCTCTACTGGTCCTGGATGTGCCACGTGTTCTCCCTCCCTCTCTCTCTCTCACACACACACACACAAAACCCTAATTGGTCCACTGCCACAACCCAAGTAGTGTAAGATGGCTTTACATTTATATATGGGTCTCTCTTATTCCCCTTCCAAGATTGCTTGCAAAACCTATTAATTTCTACCAGAGCCCATAGGGTAAGTTAGCTAGCTATTGGTCCTACCAAGTATTAGGCCATTACCCAATGTTGGTCCCAGCTATCTGGGACCTTTGGAGGGGTAGACTGAATATGGTCCTAATAACCTTTGGCATTTTTCTGCACAAAGGCCGCTTTCAGACTCGAACCCACTTTCTTACACTTGCTTGCCAGTCTGAGATTTTACCATTACACCAAGTAATGGCCCCTACAGAGTATGAATATTAGAAATCACAACCCAACATTCCAATAAAAATCACAATTAGTGTCTAAATTTTCATATAGCATATATTGCTCCTAGAGATGAATTTCAAAGCCAATCATGCTACATGATCAATCCTCTCAGTAATATATCTAATCTTGGTCATGGTTCTTCAATATCTGAGCTTGAGGGTGGCCAATTCCCCCTTTTTCTAACTAATTTCACAGCCTATCTATGTCTTCACATGTGCCTACAGAACCCTTTAATGAAACTTTTGCTATTGTCTTCAGATTCAAAAGAGTCTCCATCTAATATCTACTAATGTTTACAGAGGTAAATAGTCTTTATACCACTTGAGGGAAATCTTGGCAATATTAACAGTGAGGACCACACAGATGGTACCAAGTACTACATCCCACCATTTATTCCACATTCAAAATGGTTAGGAGGTCTTATCGATCTATTAACAAATAGTCCACTAAAATCTGTTTAATATGAATCATCCATGCAAAGAATTACAAAGAAAGAAACAAACACTACTGCAGCAGCAATAAGTCTTGAAAACATTCTTAATTTGATCATCATTCGAAAAAGAGAAAAGACCTCAAAACGACCTTGATTTCTGTATCTTATGTCAACCCAACTGCCTCCAGTTTGGGTGGATGAGTGAAATGCCAAAAAATAAGAAATAAGAAATGCCAAAAGAACAATATAAACTATTACTAAATACAGAGAAAATTATCACAACTTAGTTGCTTTGTGGTATCTGTTGAATAAATATCCATGTGTTCTGTTAAATCCCCATACCCATCAGCTTAATTATGAATGAGAAATGTTTCTGATTTTTTGTTTTCTTAATTAATCATTGGAATATCCAACAAACCCAGATAGCTTTTTCCATACCTCCTTTGACACAGATCAGATTTCATGTTTTAACAATGATCTTTTTCCATAAATTAGGGTCTGTCTTTTCGTTGGCTTGAGGGAAATTAGCCAACTCCAGCTAATTTCAACGGCCAAAGAGTTTCCCAAACAATTGCATGTTCTTGTAGATCAGACCACCAGTTGGTTCCAGTTGAACATGAAGTCTCGAGCTTCAAAATGGAGATTAATTGTTACTTCATTTATGTTTTAGATTGAATAGAAATCACCAATAAGCAAAATACAGGGGTCATGGGGCCGGGTCATACAGACAAATAATTCTTTGTACATATACTGATGTAAAGGGACCACCACATGCAACATATATATATTTGGACTTTCAAAAGATACAAGATAATGGAGGTCTTTAATGCAACACTTAATTCTATGAATGCAACATATCTGTCATGATCACACATACCACCCATTTGCCATCTTATTGAGGAGAAAAAAAATAGAATTAAAATTATAAAATAAATGCAAGAAATAGGAAGAAAATACAGAAAATATAAGAACTATTTATCACTTAAGTCTTTATTATTAAAATGAGCATATGTGATTAGTACTTCTGAAGCAAAGTTGATATTAGGACAATATTATTTACTGTTAAGCCTCCCTTAATCTCCTTTTCAGTGAGTTATTTAGAATAGTCTCTTTTCCCAAAAGAGAGAAAGGTCTTGCTAGTTATTCCAACCTAGAATTAGAATTACCACATGGGGTGTCAGAACATTATTTCCACAAGAGTCTACTTGACAACTTTTTTTTTCTTTTTTTTTGCGGTGCAGTTTTAATCTTAGGCTCAGTTTGGAAGTAGTACAAATACATACAAAATACAAGGTTTGCACTCTACAGTACATATTTGTATTTGTACTACTTCCAAACTGAGCCTTAATCTCTAGCTAGAATATACTTACCTCCTGGTTTTCATTCTTATCTTGATGTACAAGCACCAAAGAGTTTTTGTTTTTGTTTTTTTTTTTTTGTTTTGTTTTTCTGTTTTGTGAAAGCCCCAAGGCAATTCCATCATAGCAAAGAGTAACTCCCATCAAATTATTGTACTAGTTCCTCTGAGTTTTTTCTTCTTTCCTCTTGACAAATTAATTGTGCTTTTAACTCGAAATGCACAAATGAAAAGGACTAGCAACCTCATATTATAGTATATTATAATGCACAGTTATTGGGTGTTACTGACTCAAAATAGATATAGACATAATGGGAGTCACTACTATTGGACTCATGGTGCTCATGACCCATTCTTGTTGCCCATTCCTTGAACACAACCTCTGAATTCAACCCTTCATTTCAATTGGGGAAGATTGTATCCAACCAAGGGATATTGAGGTCCAGTGCCTCAAATTCAAATAATGAAAACATCTTAACCGAACCTGAGTTAGGAGTTTTATGGTTGTTTGGATCATGGATAGAGTCTTTTCCTGTTATTCCTCTGTAGAGCCACAAAGGTTTTTGACAATAAGTTCTATAAATATTCTGTGGATGATTGTTTTCTTTCTTTTTATGTAAATTCTTAAATTCAGGTATAAGAATAGAAAAGAGTTGATGGAAACTGGGGCATATGGATAAAATAAAAATTTGGTATGATTTCATTGCAATAATTCAGACAAATTCTTTTTCTCAGTCAGGTACTTGTAATACTAAAAAAATGAGTGCAAAGGCAAGCTTGGCTCTTAAAGGGTTTCTAAGACTGCTAAAAGGAGAGAACATTGATCAAGTTATAGAAGCCATGATTTAACAAAACTTTTGGTCTAATTTATATGCTTCTTTTACAAGGCATAAATCCTTACCTTTGAAAGTTAAAATTATTTTATCACAGAAATAGAGAATACATGTTTCACTTTTGTAAAAGTGCAAGTTTGTAAGGTAGTAAGCCCTCAATTAACTAAATTCCCTATAGAATTGGGCAAGGAACCCTTCTGTAGTAATTATTTAAGAATGGTCCCTAAAATAAATGTTTTAGCTTACTATAAAATAAGAAAGACTTTTGGCAGGAGCCAATATGGAGTTGGGTTTCAAAATATCAACATTGT